TTTGGTTAGTTACAAGACATAGTATATATACACCAAATACAATTTTTATTATTATTGTACATAGATGTTATATTAATTACATAAAAGGATTTCAAAAGGTAGTTAGTTATTTTAAAGAACTTCTAAATTTATATAAATAAATTAAAGAAAAAAAAAATTTATTATATGAAATCTAATCCCTTAGGAACTCTTGAAGTGCTGTATTAAACTCAATCTCAGCTTGAAGATTAAATTTCATTTGTAATTCCTCAGGTTCATCAATTTCTAATGGTTGAATTTCATCTTCAGGATCATTTTCTATTGGAAGATCTTTTTCACTTGTAAGTCTATTAATGATAGATTCTACATTGATATTAATCTGATTTTTTATATATTTTAAACAATATAGACACTTGTATTCATTATGTTGTAAACAATATTCATGATAAATATGACCACATGGAAGAAATGTCAGCTTTATGAACTGCTGAAAATTTTGATCACTAGAATTTAGTTGAGGCTTCATACAAGTATCCTTAAGATGACACTCTATTGAGTCCATTGTTTTGTTTCCTATTTTTCAGAATTTCCATTTTTTTTTAAATAATGATTTTTATTTTGCACAAGAGAAATAGGTAATTATCAATCAATTGTGATGGTGGCAACTATATTATTTAAAAATACTTTTTCTTTAAAGAATTGATTTTTTGTAAGAAATGATAAAGAATTAAATTTTATACTTGGTAAATAATAATAAAGAATATAAAGAATTAAATTTATTATTAGTAAAAAGTAAAGAATTAAATTTATTAGTATGACAGAATTATTTTATAAGGGGTGGATAAAGAATTGTTCATTTTTATTAAGTGACAGGGAAATAAAGAATTCTTTCTTTTTAATAGATACAAAGGCTATTAAAACAAAAGTACAAGAATGCAGACAAAGAAGCCTATGTAGTTGAAATTATTATAAATAAGACATGAATCAAGAATCTTATTTAATAACTAAACTCTTGTAACCAACTTTAAAAATAAAATTTCTATTATAAATTAACCTTATCATTAATAAATTAAAAATAATATATACTCTTACATACCCAACCATCTAATTTTTGCACTCACACTCATCTCATTAAATATTTTATTCTTTTATTGCTTCTAAATAAAATGTCTCTGAAAAGAGTAACTTTATCTAATTCAATTTTGTTTATTCTAGTCAACAAATAAAACTGGTTAATTCTCTTGATATATATATTAGTTTGAAACAATAAATACAATGAGGCAAACTACAATAGAATCTTATCTTAATCAATAATTATATAAAAATTTTTTTTAGTGATAATAATGTTATAATTTTTATTCTTTATTGGAGTCACGTACAACCAATGAAATGCTTTGTTTCTCTAAGTGCACGCTATCACTCATTCCCAAGGGGGGTGCACTTAGAGGGGGTTGACTGTATTATTATTTTTATATGAAAATATCACTTAAGATAACAAATGGATATTATCATAATTTGTAAATTTACCAACCAAATTTCAGCTAAATCTTCATGATTTCATTGAATCTCCATTAATGAACCCATTAAAGGCAACGGATGGTCCCGGGAAATGATTTTCTCGTGTGAAATGCAAATAATAATATTTAAATACAAATAATGAATATAAATGTAATCAATCAAAGAATTTTTAGAAAAAAATCAAAACCACACTTGGTTTAGCGTTATTTGATAGAATAGACAAAATTTTACTATATATACGTGTGTGAAATTTGTTGTGTAACTAGTCCAAATTGACAATTTGGATAACAATACAAATGCCAAGAATGAATTTTATTAATATTAATTGCCAAGAATAAATCTAACAACCGAAATTAGAATTAAAATAATAGTAATAAATAATATAAATAGTAAATAAATATAATTGTATCAATGTATTCGTCCAAGAAAAAATTACAATAATATGAAATAAATGTTATATAATTTGACCAGATTTAATTAATATCTGCTTCCGATGGTGATGGTCTTCGTCTTCTATTATTAACCTCGAAGATAAATTATTATATTTTATTTTTTTACTTAGTAAAGGTGGGATAAGACTTAATAAAGAGATTATTAGTAATTTAAATAATACAGTTGGTTGCCACATGTCAGTTGTTGAGTTGAGTTCCGATATTATATCTCCTGATTGACAACACGCAAGATTATACGGAATTGATCCAAAAAACATTGTAATGAAAAATGTCCCAATTGGAATAGATAATAGTGGAGACGTGATGTTTAATAACCTATGAATTGAATAAACAACAACAACATGAAGTAAGTCCAACTAAAAATAAGCCCAAAGAACTTAACAAAGTAGCTGAACCTGACT